AAAATATTAAAATTTGTATATAAATTATTGATAAACTAAGTAATATTTTTTATATCCAACTTATGTTGTATAAAATCTATCCATTTTTCCCATACCACAAAAAACTTCTCTTGCGATTGATCCTTTAAAAAAGCCGAAATCTTTGCCATTTCCGCCAGATAGGATACTTTAAAAAACCACTCTTGCAAAGTAGGCAAAGATTCCTTCTTCCAGTATTGCCCTACTAACAACCTTGCGGCTGTAATTAAATTTAACATCAATATAACCTCCTTAGTATCACAATCGGTAACAATACCTAGCAAAAACAATTGTGGGGTAAATTTTACCCTCCTTCTAAAAATTCTTTGAATATTCCACCATATCTTAATCCAAAAGGCTTTTATATTTTTACACGACCACCAAATATGGTAATAAGTAGCATCCAAACAACCACATCTCCAACATTTGGGCTGTAAGTCGGGATACATACGAGACATTTTTTGTGGATCAAGGTGCCATCTATAGAACATTTTATAAAAATTCTCCCTTAAGTTCTGGGCTTGTGTAAATTTAACATTTCTCACCCAGATGATTTCCCAGGTATCTAGTAGAACTGGTTCACCAAAATTTTGTGCCCATTTAATCATACATTCTTTAATTAATTCTGGTTCTGAGTCCAATTCTACTAGCAACCCATAAATTCTCTTAATATGAGTTCGTCTTTGATCTTTTACTTGTTTAACAAAATTTTCATCTTCTCTAAGCAAGCCCGGAGCTTTCTTGATGATAATGGAATAATGTAAGTGTTCCAGGCTTGTGGTGATGGGTTTCTAAATTGCCATCTTACTCTGAGAATTCATAAGGTCACCTTTCCACTCAAGCTTCCTTCCCCCTGCAGAGTGTAATAGCACAATGAAGGAGCAGAAATGGCACAAGATGCATGGATAATGGCTATAGCTGGCTTGTCCAAATTGGTGCATCACCTGAGGATCATCAGTAGCCAATTGGCTAGTTTATGAATCTAACTGTTGCTAATGCTGAACTAAGGCACTGGTTACCTGTTTTGTGTTCCTTTATGTTCCCAGTCATTTGCATGGTCCAGATCAAAAACAAGCTTTCCTTGTAAAAGGACTTGAGGAGCCGCCAGGATGAATGTAGCTCTTGACAGGTAAAACAAATTTATCAGAAGCTTTTTTCAACCAGATTTTTGGGAAGGGAAAAGGGGTTACAGAAATCTCAGCAAAAGATTATTTCCATTTTAGCACCAAATTTACCTGTTTATTGGGGCAGAGACTTCTTCATACTCTTGTTAATGTAGTAACCGTTTGCGTATCCATTTTCCCACAATGGACAGATTGGCTGAATTCGTGAATTCACAAATCATTGTGACAGTTCATGGCACAGAGTATCACCAAATTAAAGCCCTTGACATGGATAGTGAAATAGTGACCCCGGAACTGTCACAGACTGCTGGAAAAATAAGGTGGAATTAGTGATCTAGGAAGATTAAATGTCACAGACAGAGAGGGGGGAAAAAAAATCACCCGTCAAATTTTGTAAACTAGATATTAACTGATATTGTTGAAGACCTACACAGTAGAAAAGATAATACCGTATCCAGGGCTTTTTTTCTCATAGAACGCTCAGAAGGCGGGTTGTATGACATATGTGAGTTCCGGCACCTTTTTTTTTTTTTTTTTTTTTTTAGAAAAAAAGCACTGACTGTATCTTCAGGAATGGAAAAAGTTGATATGGAAACATGAAAATAACGAATGTCAGTCAGAGTTATATGTCATTAAGAGTTAAGATCCAGCACTCAGTAGGAAAGCATGGGTGAAGGTACTACCCTTGACTGTTGTCGTTGTTCATGTTCAACAAATTGCTGTGGAAGAAATATTGCAAGGAAATATTAGAAGGCATTAAAAGAAGCGACAGAAGAGTTCAAGGAAGGAACTGGAACCTTGAAATATATCAAATGGAAACAGAATTAGATGAAAATGCGCAGGTTGAGTTCCACAAAATAAGCTTGTTCATCGTGGTGTGAACACTGATTGAAGCCGTTTGCTTAAAAAAGGATTAGCACATTTTCAAAAGTTACTTAGAGATCATGGACAACTCCTATCATCCTGGTTATAAAAACAAATCGAAAAGGGAGATAAGATCAGAGTGGCTATTTTAATCTGTGACTTATTTACATAAGGTCTATCAAGCATAGAAGACATGCATGCAAATATTAGGCGTGATGGAGCATACACACATCAAGAAATCAATCATGCACACTAGTACAAGCTATGAAAGGAAGGATGCATAGCAATTGGAACACCTACATCTTTTTGTCCCCCATTTTTAAGGACTCTGCTTTTCTGAACTGTTCAAGCTGACCCTTTAAAAAGGATTTGACTTCCATGCTAATCATAGTGATGGAGATAGAAAAGAGAAAACAAAATTACAAGGAAGAGCAAAGAGCAAAGAAAGGAAGGATCATAGAGAAAGCTGAAAACTGCTGGTAGTGATAGTAAGGGCTAAGCAGTGATGCTGAATGGCACTGAAAGACAATGGAATAGTCAGACAAGCAGAAGTGGCAGTTATGGGGCAGTGGCTGAGGTGAACTTAGAGAGAAGCTGAATAAATTAAGTGCTACAGATCCAGTGTGGACCAGCAAATTACAAGTAGACTAGGCACTTGGAAGCCAGTATAACCAAGGGTAGCCTCTGTTAAGTAGTCCCAAGGGGTGGCATCTTGGCAGCCCAGACACTGAAGGTTCAGAAGAAAGTCAAAGCAAATCATCTACCACTACTTTCAGCACCCATCCAGGTGGCCCAAGATGACCACTAGAGCCTTCCAAGAGTAGCTAAGGAAAAATAGCCTCAACCTTATCCCCAGCCCCAGTTGTTCTCAAGTGACTGTGAGGAAGTGTGTGTGTGTGGGGGGGGGAGGGGGAAGAGCCAGAATTCAGCAAAGGCAAAACAAATAGTATAGCAATTTCAGAAACATAGATAGAATCATCTATTGATGATAGAATTATTGATTAGGAAACAAAGTAGTAACATCTTTCCTAAAAAAATAATTTGTAAAAAGTTTGCAATAGAATTCTCATTTCTACAAAAACTATGTATCTCTTTGGCTGATGCTGTCTTACCAATAAAATAAATGGTATAAATAATATGGAATGGGACAACTCGCTGCAGCCAGGTTGCTGCGGCTGGCAGCCGGTTTGCCGGTGGAACAATTCACCATAGGATAATTCACTGGAGAATGCCAGAGGCAAGGACACCCTCCACCCTCCTTGATCTGGCTTACCCCCCCCCCCACACAAATACCCCTTGAACTCTGTGGCAGAAACTTCTGTGCACAGAAAAATATGTGACTCTCTCCCTCATCCCCTCCCTGCTTTGTCCTCCCAGATTTTTTTCCCCCAGTCCAGAGCTACAGAGGAGGAGGGGGAGGTTTCCCTTGCCTCCAGCATTTCCCCTTGGTAACCAGTCCCATGGCAAGGGGGCTGGAATGAGGTGGCAAAGATGAGGTGGAGGTGGTGAGTTGTCCTATATCCTTAGCTTACATGGCAAATGGATTTCAGCTCACTAGAATGAAGGCATTTGCAATGGTGCCATGTTAGGGGGCTGCTTCTCAGAGCAGGAAGAGTTCTCCAGTGCTTGTGGAATTTTCTTGTTTTTTTTTTAATCTGTTGTTTATTTCTCCAACAACTCTTCCTTCTATAGGAGATGAGCAGAGAGATTGGGACTCAAAAATCAAGAACTAGCATCACTGCCTAAAGGCTTTGAACGATGACCTAGTATTGTATAATAACAGATGTTGTAAAAGATATTATAAGTAGTGCAAAATTCTGAACATAAATTCCTTTATTTTCTATTCTCAACTGCCCTAATATTTTATGGGAACTGCTGAAATGTACAGGAAAAATGGCTTCTCTGTTAAACCTAGTCAATTAACAAATTTCCATCTTACACGAAAATCAGTAAATTACTAGATGGTTAAAAAGATCCTTTTAACTAAGACTTCAAGATATAGTATGTAAGATGGAAATGTTTCTGGAACTCAACTAAAGCCAGGTTTTGTGTACCTGAAAGTAATGCTTTTTTAAATACTTCAGCACTCCCAGTCTATTATTATTACTACTACTATTATTATTATTATTATTATTATTATTATTATTATTATTATGGATCATCGCAGTCAGCCAGATGTTCAGACTGGATTTGGCATTTTGTCTACCTATCGAGTCCTTACCCAGGACCTGGGATAGGCAGATGTGGATGTTTGATGGTATTACAGGTATCGTCGCAGGATGGAAGCAGTTCCTAGTAAGGCCGCCTTTTGCAATTGACTAATAACGAATTTGTCAATGCCAATGGTGTTCAAGTGGTGCTCCAGTTGTTTTGGGACTGCACCCAAGGAGCCTATTACTATTGGTACTACCCTTGCTTGCTTTTGCCACAGTCTTTCTATTTCTATTTGTAGGTCTTTGTATTTTGTTATCTTCTCCAGTTCTTTCTCTCTATTCTGCTGTCTCCAGGCACTGCCACGTCCACTATCCAGACTTTTTTGTCTTTCTTATCGACAATTGTTAAGTCTGGGGTGTTATGTTGCAGGTGCTTGTCTGTTTGAATTCTGAAGTCCCAGAGCAGTTTAATTTTATCATTTTCTATGACTTTCTCTATTTTATGATCCCACCAGTTTTTGCTTACAGGCAAATGATATTTTTTGCAGATCTTCCAATGCACCATTGTTGCTACTTTGTCATGCCGCTGCTTGTAGTCAGTCTGTGCAATCTTCTTGCAACAGCTTACCAGGTGGTCCACTGTTTCTTCAGCTTCTTTGCATAGGCGGCACTTACTGTCTGTGGCTGATTATTATTATTGTTGTTATTATTATTATTCAGTATAATAATAATTATCAAAATAGAACTATTGTAAAGTAACAAGAATCTACGAGAGGTACAGATCTTGCTATCAGTGTCAAACCAGTGAAAGAGATTTGTACATAATTCCAACTAGTCGCAATTTGCTTCAAGAATTAATAGTTTAATATTAACACATTCCAATACAGTACAGATATTTTTAAGTAAGACCATCTATCTATATTTTAAAAAACACTTTGTACAAGGCCAGCAAGCTGTGGACTTGATTTTTTTTTTCAATGCCAATCAATAGAATTCTGAAACACAATTCCACTGCAGCCAAGCCAAGATCATGTACAAATACAGCTCAGCATTGCTGGCCTATAGATACATGCAGCAGGTACGCAATTCTGGATTGCTATGCAAAGGCTTAGTGGTTCATATTTTATTAGATTATTTACATCATCGTGGTAACCCAAAGAGAGAAAATCCTTGAGATTTTTTTCCCCAAAAAAACCCTTACCCCTATAAAAATACAAAATACCTTCTCCCTGCCCCTGATGAAACCAAAATATATTTTTTTCCTAGGTTAACAAATGTTTAAAAAAGGAAAGAGATACTTTCTTTCAACACCCTTCCGGGAAAAATTGGAAAGTGCATATTGCACATAGGGAAGTTCCAGCCTCTTTGGGAACAGCCAGGAAGGGAAGGGAAGACAGAAAAAGCTGTTGTGAGTGTGTGCCATTGTTTGCTTTCTTAGCCAAGAGAGGAAAAAGCAGGAATGTGCAGACAAACTAACCCACCCAAGACATAATGATGATGAAGCATCCATCATTTCAACATGAAGCTAACACTGTTCATTTAAAGAAAACTTGCCTTTACTTTCAACATTCATGTGCAGACTTTGTTTCCATTTCTCTCTCTCTCTCTCTCTCCTCACACATTATCTTTACACTCTTAAGATCTAAAACAGGTTGAAGAGGGACTAAAGTGCTTTGTGAACACACATTTCCTAAAAATGTCTAATATCCAGTATCTTCTTGGCAGACATTTCTTTCAGATTCTATTTTCATCCTGCCATCTTTAATATAATGCTTGACACTTTGTGACTGGCTCTGTCAGCAGCCACTAGTTTACTAAATTTCAATTGACATTCCAACAAATTAGCTGTCAGCACAGCAATCATTAGCAACAGTGTTTTGAAGAACAGTGCATAAGAAAACAACCATTTTTCCTACAGAGAGGCAACGAGCTATGCTTAGAACAATCCTACACTGGACATCAAAAGGAACAGTGGACCATGTTCTCTCCATAATGCGCATTGTTCTGAGATGTTGAAAATGAATTGTATCAGCTTTCTGTTTGAACTTATAGCTAAACAAGTGCCAAAATGTAGCATTTATCACATGTAGCTGGTTGCTCAAATTGAAATCTGTGTGAATTATACTTCATCAATGACAAAACAAAAATTTAAATATAAGTAATAGGGAAACGCAGACTGGCAAGGGAGAAAAAATCTTTGGAAATTTATATTAAATAAGTCAAAATATGTGGAAGGGAATGAAAAGGGATCTCTCTGGTCAAAAATAGCATTTGTAAAAGTTTGAAATACTGTGCTGCTTTAGCATTTCAAATATATAATATTATATTCTACTACCCGTGGCCTCTCTTAGGTAGCCCTTTCTCCTGATTCAGAGAAACTGCAAAGACTGGAATTACTCACAGCAATCCAGCACTGCTTTATTTCAAAACCGTGTCTTCAGTTCTGAGCACATCCAATCATTTAGCACGAGAAAGCCCCTAAGCTAGCATTTGCTACTCTACGAAAACTTAAAAATCATGTACAATTTGATACGGAGCAAAGTGCCTTCAATCTTAGTCCAGCTACAAATTTGTTGCCATGGACATCTGGAGTTGCTCTTCTTTAATTTAGCCAAAGAGTAAACACTAGTTCTTTCCCTAACTTAAGCAGAGGCTTCATCCATGACTGTGGAAAGAAAAGGAACCACAAAATTCTGGTTCACTGGTAAACCAAAGGTAAAATGCTGCAGAAGCCACTGGGATAACAGATGAACAACAAAGATCATTCTTCCTTATTATACATTTACAACCATTTAGCTTGGGCAAGTCTTTTTATTTAAACATAGCCCAGGTTGGAAGCCTTTTCCACAGTCCCTATTCAACCTAGAAATTCATTCCTCTGGCTACCCTGTTAGTTTTAAGGCTGCTTTGTTTCTAAATTTCAGGCTATTCTGTATCAAAGAAAAATTACAAATAATGTCACAAGCTGTTTGGAAGTTGCTGAGGGACAGAACAATTCCAAAAGGAAGGCACAGAACAAAAAGCAGTCTTTTGCTTAATTTACACAGGTAGAGACCGCATTAAAGGCAGACGATGGTTTACTGTCATCTTAAAGGCTATCACAGGTAAACATCATCTACTATTGAGTCTCAAAGTTATGCTGTTGAGTAAAACCACCCAATCATTAAGCTCAGATACACAGGAAAGCTAACTTGGAAAATCCAACCAATACTGCAATTAATCTCCTCTTAGATCTTTTCCACTATCCCATTAGGAAATGGTAAAACTGGCTGGGGAAGGATTCGGCAAGCAACTTAGATTCTGCAGTCCACCCCGTCAGGTGGTCCCCTGGAAGCTTGCTACAGCTTGCTTCTAACCCATATGTGAACCTACCTCACCTCTAGTGGATCAGATTGCTAGCCACACTGACTATCTGGTACACGACTGAACAGGAAACTCTGATCTGAGTTGGCAAACAGAGGAAGGAACCCTGTCTGTTGATTTTCCTCCAACAGACAAAGGCAAGTATCACCAAGCCTTGCCTACTGAACCCAAGTATTAGGAAGCCTCTGCAGAGCTGAATGGGACAAATTTAGCAGGTTTGTTTGGAGACATAGGAGATAGACCATCAGCTTCTTCACTGAGTTTGAAAAACATCTCTTGTTCTCGCTTTTTCTGATTCAGCTCATCTTCTAGTGCCTGAAACACAAAGACAAAAAGAGGTGAAAAGATAAAGTTTTCGCTAATAATAACCTTGATTTCTCTCTGGATTCCTGCCAGTTTACATGCAGTTGCAGGTTGAAATGAATATGACATTAGAATAAGGAAAATAAAAAAGTATACAATGCAAACCTGCTCACAAACATTCAAAGTCTTCCTTATTCATTCTCCCCTAAATTATGGGTCTTGTGGAAATTAACATTTTTTTCTATCCTTATTTTGACCAACTGATCTGATATTCAAAATTTCACAATTTAATTCTGATGCGGGTGCAAATTTTTAATCACCTTTTTTCTTGGCCTAAGTTTATCTCGCCAGTCCTTGAGGGTCAGGTTGTGGTTTTCATCCAAGGCTTTCAGTTTTTGTGTCTCATGTTCAACCAGAAGGTGGCACTTTTCATTCTATATAGATTGAAACAAGCAATAGAGAGAAAGAAATATGAGAAGATATTTTGCAAGGAAGAAAAAGTACCAGGCCTACCATCTCTTTGACCTAATTTGAGATTGCATGACCAGCAGCAAATAATATGAAGTTATCTTTCTAATATCTTTCTGACACTAGAAGTCTCATTCTACCTAATGTCATAGATTCAGTGTGTCTGCTTAACCTGGAGTTAGCCAATATAGCATGGTTAGCATATTGTGCTCTAGACATAAAGAAATCTCTGATAATCCATGGAGTTTACTTGATGGCTTTGAGAAAAATCATTTTCTTTCAAAACTAACATAACTCACCAGGCTTATATTAGGATTTAAATGAATTAAATGAACCCACATTTATTTACCAGTATTTCACCCCTGTGATATAATGATATCTGCAAGAGGGACCTAAAGGCCTTGGGAATGGACATTAACAGCTGGGAATCCTTGATCTCTGATCTAAAGACGCAGCATGGCCTTCTCCAATTTGAAGAGACACTTGTGCGGCAGGCTGAGGCAAAGAGGCAGTCCCGGAACCAGCGAAACCTGGGGGCTGGACAGGGGACAGATTGTATCTGCCCTCAGTGTGGAAGGGACTGCCACTCTTGAATTGGCCTTTTTAGCCACACCAGATGCTGGCTTAGGACCTCTTTCCAGAGCACAATACCATAGTCTCTCAAGATTGAAGGATGCCAATGGAATGGAATGGATTTCACCCCTTGGATAAAACTTCAGATATAAATACAATTACATGCCAACATTAAAAAAAATCCCTGATATTATTTTTCTCTTCTATTTTAGGGCCGACTGTGACCAGTATTAACAAATCTTTCAGAACAGGATAACAGATAGCTCAAAGACTTCATATGTATTGCACTTTTGAAGATTAACATAAGCATAAATAAAACTGTACCATTGATATTAAGTTACCTGTAACTGCTGGAGTTCATTCATATTGCCCTCACACTGAGCCAACATGTCCTTCATCTGCATCTCATGTTTCTGCTGCTGTTGCACTCGCTCAGCTTTTTGTCTTTTTTCTTCCTGCTGGGCAAACTGTCATGGGGAGAACACCAACAATCACCCAAGTTTTGGACGGTTTCCCGCAACAGTTATCTACCCGAACTTGAAATACTTCAGAAGGTAACTAAAGTTTACCAATGTGATTAATTATTTCTTGTCAGTGAAGCTGTTTTAAATCATCTCCTGGGATAGTTATAGGATCTCTGGACCCTGACTAATATTTGCTTGTATGATGAGTGCTTTATCAGTATGGTTTGATTTCATTTTTCCTTACTTAAGATACACCAACAAATGAGAGGGATGGGTGATCATAATTATGATCTCTCTACCCTTTCACAAAATTAGAGTGTGTGGCAATTTGAATTATTTCTATTTTGAAACTCATTTAACGCTGAAGCCTAAATATCAGTGATATGATATGCAGCTAGACAAATCATTCCCAGTAGGCTATGTCTAGCAGATTTTTACAGTATAATACATTCATTAACTTAATTTACATAACAAATGCAAGGCCAAATTACAGTTTAGCATTTAATTGGCAGTGCGCTGGTCCATACAGTACTGCTGTGATAGTACCTTTAGCTCCTCCTGTGAGCTGGCACAGCTAACCAACCTTGGATAATTCACCTATAGATAATTCATTGTATTATTCAAAGCAGAGGCCCTGGTTTGTTCTTCTCAGTCGTGGAATCCTCCATAATTTGTTAGTTGAGCCACTACTGGATGTGGTAGCAGATACAATTGGGGAAAGTATACACATTCCTCATTTACCAATACCTTATTTTTATTTAAAATATGCCTATTCCTGATTCTCTTTGTTAAAAAAATGCCCAAGCAATTGTTATAATCCTGTAACATGTCTAAGCAGGTTATATGAACTGACTCATTGACAAAAGAATCCTCTGCTTATTTTCCATCCAGCATTGAATCATATGGTTGGAAGGGACCTTAGAGGCAAGAATTCTCATATCATCTTGGAGAAATGGTTGTCCAATTTTTTCTTGAAAACTTCCAGGAATGAAGCACCTGAAGATTGCTATCATGTCTTCCCTCAGACTTCTCTTTGTTAAGCTAAAGTTATCTAGTTACTTCAGCCATTCTTCATAGGATTAGTCTTCAGACTCCTTATCATCCTTGTTTCTCTTCTCTGCATTCTTTCTAGGGCCTCAGTATCTCTTTTGTAACTTGGTGATTGGAACGGGATACAGCATTCCAAATATGGCCTCACCAATGTGATATAAAGTGATACTATTACTTCCCTTGATCTTAGTACTATCCCTCTATTGATGCAGCCCTGGACTGTTTTGGCTTTTTTGGCAGCTGCACCACACTGATGACTCACACTTAAACAGTGGTTCACCAGGACACCTTGATCCCTCTCATAGGCACTACTGCCTAACCTGTACCGATGCATCTGACTTTTCCTGCCCAAGTGCAGGACCTTACTTTTCTCACTGCTGAACTGCATCTCTTTGGACAGAACCCTGTGCTCAAGACTGCCACGATCCTCCTACATCTTGAATCTATCTTCTAAAGTGTTAGCAATCTCTCATCCACAACTTTGATGAGTGCCCCTTCAATCCCTTCATCTAGGTCAGGAGTCCCCAATCCCCGATCCCTGATCCGTTCGGAACCGAGCTACTGAAGTGGTGAGTGCATGTATGCATGTGTGTGAAGCTGCATTTGTGAAAGTGGCGTGTGCATGCAAAACCATCCCTACTCCCCTCTCCCTCCGCTGCTGCTGCTTCTGCTGGTCCGCCAAGCTGGAATGTAGGTCATTTAGGAAGATGCTGAAGAGCTCTGGGCACAAGACATCTCCATATCTAATGAAAGTTCTCAGACAGATCTCTTCAGCAAGGCAGCTACCTGACTCTGACAGCAAATTTCACCTGTTTTATCTTCTCTCTCTGTTCTGAGGCACTTCCACTGGAGTTGATATGGAGACTCTTTTTATACATGGCCATGCGGGTTTTCCCTTCACTCCTCTGAATTTTGGGGAGACGGGCCCTCTCTTGCTGCTGCCGAACTTTCAGCTGTTCTATCATGCGCTGGTTATATCGTTGCATTTGCTCACGTTCCTGCAATACAGATCAACACAGTGGTGGGAATGAGGGAGCCAGCATAAGAGAATGCCCCCCATTACACTCAGAGACATCAATGGCAAGGAGCCACAAATTATTGAACAAAAAACAAAAGGTTGTTGGGGGGGAGGGAGACAGAGAAATAAGATCCACCTGGAAGACTTGAATATGCAGAGGAGGCTAGTATCGTTGTTTTTTTCCTGAGGGAAATAACATCAATGCCTCCAGCTCTTATGGATGGCATCCCTAGCGTAAGCGATTGCGAACTATCACAGAGACAACAATGCTAATTAAGCCAGCTGAAACATAAAAGCTATTATAGAAAGCTGCCAAATTACAGATCTATCCAGTGGGATTTCTTAATGGAAATCATAATCAGTGTGTTATTTATGTGCAGAAAGACTACTTGTTCAATGCAGTAGGTAGTCATGTGTATTAAACTATGCAAATAATAAGCAACATATAAATATTAGCGATCATTCACACATGCAGTACAGGTGCCAATAAGTCAGAGGTACAATATATATTAATATTCTCCACATAGAGGAGGAAACGTTAGCTTCATCTCTAATGGAAATGAAAGGCATCTTGCTTCATAATGTAAAATAAGCATTTTTGCCAAAGGTTCAATGCAATTTCTATCACAGCAAAAGGCGAAATAGAACATTTGCTCTAATGTTGTTTCTTTCCCTGAAATCAGAGTTTTATCTGGTTTGAACAAAATTCTCTTTAGCAAATTTGACTGTAATCACAGTGGATATTGGAACTACAGTCCAATACAATGAGAGAATCCTAATTTAGGAGGGACTAACCCTGAGAGTGTGTCCTCCCCCTAATAACTACAGAGATTGTATTATAATCAGAGTACTCATTCCCAGGCAGAACGGGACAACTCGCCACGGCCAACTCATCACTGGACAACACGCCACAGGACGTGAATTGTTGCTGTGCAACAATTCAACAATTCAATTTAATTATTTAAAATAGTTAAAAAATGTTTTATTTTTTGTCATTTATATTTCATTTTGCCCTTCCTTTGGCATCCTTTCATTAATGATTCTATTTCACTATTTTTTTTATATTAGTGTAAATCCTGTCCTGTGGTGAGTTGTCACATGGTGAGTTGGCCATGGTGAATTGTTCTGTGGCAAGTTGGCCACGGCGAGTTGGTTGCAGCAAGTTGGCTGTGGCAGATAGACTGGAGTGAGTTGTTGTAGAGTAGACTCTTCCCAAAAGCTCTTAGGAGCCCACAGTTACCATACAATTTTAATATTTCAGCATTGTGCTGCTCTACCAATTCTCATATTTCTACCAAAGCTTTCCCATATCTCCACATTCCAACCCTTCTACACACTGGCTTTGCTTCTATATATCTGCAACTTTACATCCCAGCTATCATTCAACAGGACAGAGAACGGAAAATGCCGCTACCTTCTCGTGTTTCCGTAGCAGCTCGTGTCTCTGGAGGAAATACTGGTCTTTTAGTTGCTGTTTCAAAATCTGGTGCTTCTCCTGCAGATGGTGCTCTTCAAGATCCCAGATAGTGGCTTCCCGGTCTACAGTGTTTAAAATAAATAAATATATATGGCCGTTCAATACCTGAACAGAGAGGGGAAGAGTAACTGTTTCAATCTCAACATTGTCTATCCTCATGCTTAGTTTTTATCCCCTCAACCTTCTTTTTACATTATGATATTATTGGCCTGAAGAGGTGAATGAATGACAAGAGCAGCTGGTTTTCTTTTTTCTTTTCACAGGGGTTCCCAAAGCAAGAGAAGAGGAAGGATATGTGTGTGTGGGGGGGAGGAGAACTGGCTACAAAATCTTTGCTATAGAGACGGAAAACCTGTAAGCCTCTAGATTAGTGGTTAGTGTCAGTGCAAATAATCATTTCCCAATCTGTGTTCCTGTGATTATATTCCAATCCATAGATTGTATGTTAATATCATTTTTAAAAATAGTTTTCAAAAATTAGTGGTCCCTTGAAGCATTTCCTAACGTATGAAGCTTTTGCACGCAACTTTCCTAATTCACATTTAAAGGAAAAATGATAAGTCTTCCTGATGTAGTGCCATTTAAAAATATTTTTTCTCTCTGCTTTCTTTCTTAAACTTTTTGTAGGAGATGATCAGGCTGAGCCTGAGGGGAGGGACAAATGGATCATCAGTTTGGAATGGCCATGCCCCTTTAAGAGACCTATGTCCAGCTCTCCTTGAGGGCCATTGACTCTTATCTGGCACCAATTTGCCTTGATTGTTAGTAGATCAGGTTCTTGCATATAGGCTGCATGGAATATTGCTTTTGAATTCTACTCTGGCTCCTGGTTTCCTGAGCTTGACACTTTTTTCTCTTTGCACATCTATGCCTCCTATATACTTTTTAAAAAAAAATGCAAACACTTTATGTACATAAAATACAGCTTTGTGACAGATGAGATCTCTTCCCATCCTATCTTTTATGAATAATTCTGCAGAGATCTTTTATTAAAGAAGGATGAACAACCAGAAAACTACAATCTGGGAAGAATTCATACTATGGTAGGGTTTACTTTCTTAGGAATCTGTAGCAAAGATTTGCTTTTAAATTTCTATTTCTGTTTTAATTTTTGATTCCAACTCTCACTAGCACCTGCCAGTATGGTCAACAGCTGAGGAAGTTGGAAGCTGTAGATCAGAGCATCTGGAATATCACAAGTTTTCCTATCCCCATTTTATAAGTAAGCTCTATTTTTGATGTTTTATTGGCTTCCAAACTAGCACTGTGACAAAAAGTGGCTGGAAAATTATAACTTCAGATTAATTGGCTACTTTTCCAAAATAACTCTCTAGCTTAAAATATTATTCCATAATATAAATACTGATGAGTGCTCAAAACAATCCACAGCATGCTTCTCATTACTGTAAAGGATTTGCATTCTTCCTGTTTATAGCTTTGCCAGGGCTCTCCAATAGGTTGCATTGTCTTTAAATGAAAGCATATTCTTCTTAGTCTGACTTCATTACTCGTAATCCATTCTAACTGGTCCATTTAAGGAAAAAAAGCACCTCTCATAAGCTGCTGCTTTTTATTGAGGCATTCTCGTTCTTTGTCACAGATCTCTTTCCGATTCTGAGCTGTAATGTTTTTCATTGCCTGCTCCAGATCCTCGGATTGCTTGGCTATAAAGTCTTGTTCCTGGAATGAGAGAGGAGATGTATGAATATTCATCTTGGACAGTCAGAGCTTTCCCAAATCTGTCAACTTTTAGATATGTTGGGATGGTAGTTCTCAAACTAATTGAAAACTAGAATTCCAGACTCTCTGAAGGTCTTTGAGATAATCCATAGTGTTTCTCCCTGGCTGGTTGGGAATCTACCGTATGTTATTCTAAGAGTTTGTGCTACAATGTCAATTAAATCTCTCTTGTGCCTTACCATAACTTGCTTTTTTTGTACAAAGTCACCCATCTTCACTTTCATGCTGCTCTTGCGTTGTTGTCGTGGGAGCTTTTCAATGTCATTCTTGAGCTTCATAACAAAGAAAAAGACAAGCAGACAAACATTTGAGATATTCAGAACTCCTTCGTAGCTTGGAAGAATCTATACTATTGTTTCGTACATTCAGCAGAAAATTGAATAGTACTGTCATTTTTTTTTTGTTTCTCTTCTGTCTCTCTTATCTACTGTCTTGCTTTGCTCATTGTTTTATTATTGGCCATTTTTAAATTGGCATTGTCCCCCAAATTCCTCCCTAAATACCTTTTTATTCAGCAGTCCAACCTAGGTGAATAGAATGTATTTCTAGTGTGTCCATAGAGAAATGTCTAAAGGTGTTGAAAAAGTTTGTGAAAGAAGTGAGATTTGAACCAGGAACTTTACAACCCATAGCTCAATCATTAAACAAATTCATTAGCTCTTCAGGTTTTCCTCCCTTCTCTCTCTCTCACCCCACTTTTTCATTCTTCTTTCCCTAACTCCCTTCTCTGTATTTCCTTTACATTTTTCCTCCTTAGACTGCTTTCTTCTTCATTCATCCTGGGTTTCATCTTCCATTCCTTTGAATTGCTTGGTTTATGACAAACATTTTAACTGACAGCTGGGTTGGCATCCTAACATTATCCTAGCATGGAAGAATTCAAACTACCGTATTTTCCAGCGTATAAGACGACTTTCTAAAGAGTTGAAATTGGCGCCGAAGTCGGGGGTCGTCTTATACGCCGAGTCGTCTTATATGCCAGAAATTACGGTAGTTTCTGGCATATAAAACAACTTTCTAGGCATGGAAATTGGCGCCAAAGTCAGGGGTCGTCTTATATGCTGAGTCGCCTTATATGCCGGAAAATACGGTACCAGCTTTACCTCTTTCTTTTTTTGTTTTAGCAGTTCCTGAAATTGAAGCAGATCCCGTTCTTGCTCAGCACGGATACGTTTAGCTTCATCTCGTCGGTGCAGTGCATGATCTTGCTCCATTTTTTCAATCTGCTGCTTCTGCTGCCGTTCTAGATTTTCTAGTTCCGTATCATAAAACTTCTTCTTTGACTACAAAAGAAAAGGCAGATACAATCTTAAATATATTGATATTTTTCTTAATTTAGTAATAAAAGCAAAGCTTGGAAAAAAACAAGCTTAGTGACAACCTAAGTTTGGTTTCATATGAGGATGATTAGTCAAGCTCATATTAAATCTAAAACATTCTCTCACTGTCTTGGCTGTGAACATTAAAGATTCCATTGCTGGAGCTGTAACTGAGGAGTAACTCTTATTATTCTACCTAGGAGTCAGAAAAAGAAACTAAGACTCCTCACTTCATCATGCTTGCTATCTTTATTTTTTTAATGTTTTAGTTTAAGGTACTTTCTTTGTTGTAAGTCACCCAAAGTTGTTGAGAGTCAGCCAGTATACAGGCTTTAACAACAACAACAGTCACTTGATTTGAGACTTCTGAACTAGGGCAGGAAGGATGGACAATATTTTGGGACTGGTGGCCTCTTAATGCACCCCTTTTGGGGAGAATAGAATTCATTTTGCTGGTGATTGATTCAGCAATGACAGTCTGGGCAATAACCATTAGGTTCTAACTGTGGCATCCTTTTCTGTAGGCTGAGGATTGCCTATGTGTGTGTGCGTGTGTGTGCACATGTATGTGTGTGTGCACATGTGTGTGTGTTGCTGTAGATCAGGAAAAAGCCATTCAAGATTCCTTCTGCATATAAGATTGGACGATGCACATTAGCAGCAGGAAAAATTAATGGGAAAAATTGCTCAAGTACTGGAATAATTTCAGAGAACTTCAGTACAAATTATCAATGGATGAGAAATTCCTATTAAGGCTGATTGAAAACTGGGAATGTGTAGCCCTGAGAAAACTTAAGGATGGCAACTGTTAACTGTTCAAATATAGTATTTGAAAAATTATTGTCATTTTTTTTGAAGATTTAACAATAGAGAAGCTGAGAAGGATTCAGCAATGCTGATACTACCAGATGAAATGATTGCATCTGTTTACATAAGTTTTTTTCAATCTTGCATTCCCCAGATGTGTTGGAATACTGCTCCAACAATCCCATAATACCATAGTCGTGATATTTGCATGCCCTTAGTTGTGGGATAACACATGCAGAAGACACTGATTTAGAGGTGGCATACTATGAGGCATAAGAAAAGTGATTGAAACAAATTTCTTTTCCAGAATGTTCAGCTAAACGTGCTGCTTTCTGACATCCTGAAGATGTAGGGCAATCTGGAACAGAAACTTACACCAAAATTTTACAATGCAAAAATGCACAACTAAAAATTGATTATGCTTGGATGGGAGACTCCTGCAAATTTTTAGAAAGTGAGAAATTATTAGGGATAGAAGGAAGAATAGTCCTTGTTTTGTATATGCTATATCAGGAATATGAAACCTCCTATGCTCCAGATGTTTTGAACTGCAGCTTCAAAAAATCACCACAAGTTCTTGGAGTTCAAAACATTCGGGATTTCGCTGCTTGACATTGTGATTTTAGCAAGGATTTTCCAAAGGATTTTCAATGTTTGACGACACTAAAATATAAATACAAGGAAATTATTCTGAATAATAAAAGATTACAAGCCTACCACACCTAACATCCACAATCTATAGTAAGGAATATTGTTTTATGTTATGTTATTCAATATAGAGTATATTAATATTGATACATTTACACAGGTAAGATTGCCATTCTACCCATAATTCTTCAGAGAACTGACACTACTTTTAGCGACAGTATTTAGGTTTCTTCCTAGCCTAATTAGTACCGCTTATGGCTTATTAATTTTTCTTTCTCCATCTTTGACCAACTTCTGAGCTGGCAATTCCTCTTCCCACTTACATTCATTTCTTGTTCAAAACGCTTTAACATTTGTTCCAGGAGTAGCTGATGTTTGTTTGTTAATTGTGTCTGATTCCGATGTTCCTCTTTCTGAAGCAAACGTAGCTCCCGCAGTTCCTGCCGCCTGCAGGGTTACAGTAGAACAGAAATTTAGAAACAGAAGAGAAACTTTAAAGACAAAGCTACAGAGAAACACCATTTAGAGTAAAATAATCATAATGAAGACTAGCCAAGATAGGCTGCCTGCTGCCTTCTGCATTCTAAGGATCTAAATTTCCTTGAGGGGAGAACTGACTTCTTCAATCACTGCCATGAACACACATCACTTTTGGCCTGCAGGCAGAATATTTTGAAGAGGTTTTTTTTTCTTTTCCTCCCAGCTCTTTCTTGTTTATATTTGCACTTCTGGCCTTGAATTATTCAAATTACATTATGCAAACATTGTGAATAAATATGGCTTAATACAATCCCACTGACAACTGCGTGCAAGAATATATCTCTGTCTGAAACTTGGCAAGCTGGAAGAAATATAACAAACAACCCAGGTAACTTTGTGGTGTTGACATCTGTTGAAGTGAGTTTTAGAAAACTGTTAACAGTATGTCACTTTTTTGGGTATAATTTAGATTTAACATCTCAAACTGTTGCCAGTCATTTGTTGACTCCTGTCATAATAAAAAGAACAGGCAAAAACATTAGCAGTGAATTGCTCACCTTTCATTTTTCCCTTCCCCATTCTTATTCTGTTGCATGGGTTAGTGCTTTCTATATGTATTTTTCTGCAACTACCATAAATCTCAGCTAGTCTTTGGCCAAGCTGGATGGGAAGACTGGATGATAATTCTCAATATCTGATTCCATAAGATAATTTCTGATCTCTAGTGAATAGAAACCTCATAGATATGCTTCTATGTGCTGTACTTGAACACGATCTAAAATGACCTGCTACTTTTGTAGATTCTCTGATCCAAGACTGAATCTTATTACCATCAGAAAATTCTTCCTAATATTTAATGTTTTCACTGATTACATAAACAGTCAGGCCTATATAATAAATTGGTTACAAACAAAACACAATTTTAGCTTGCCTGAGGAATCTCATCTCTTCATCCTTCTTTTCATCTTCACTGATGATTTTTGAGGTGGTAACACTCACTTCCACTCCATCTACTATAAATCTTCTTGTTCGTTTCAGTGTCATGTTCTGTATTTTTGCATTCTACACATATAACCAAAGAAACAGTGTAAAAAGACAACAGGAAATTCTGGACACAAAATAATTATTTATTGCGTAACTAAACAAAATGTGTTTTCTAAAAGCCTCACAGAAATCGTAACCACCAGAAGAGGAAGAAGGACTATTTTTCTAGCAAGGAAATTCAAATTCCAAGTTGATATTAAGAAATTAAAACAATAGATTCCACACATATTCTTGATTTGTATGATTCATTTTGTTTTCTGTATTTGTATTTGAGGGAGTTTGGGAAAGGGACAACATCTTGTCCAATTAGAAGACTTTGGCAAAGAGCAGGAGGGACTGACAGTTATTGAATGCCAACCATTTTTCTGAAATTTCAAAATTTGAATCCTCTCTGAAACCAGAAATATTTGAGTGTGTCCTCTTTCCACCCAAAAACAGGACTCATCCTCTCCATCCATGCTGCATTACTATCCATCGCTAGGCAAGCAACATAGTATTATTTAGATTTTTTGAATGACATCACTTGTAATGGTATGTCATCAGCCATTAGTTGGTAGTGCTGATGAGAATTAAAATCCAAAACCTTTGTGAAGCATTTGGTTGTTTTCCTCTGATTTCCGTGCAGGTTCTTTACCTTCCTATCCACTGCAGCCCAAAACATAATCTGATTGCAGTAGAAGATGCTGCTGCATTTCCCAACCCTGCAAGCCAATGATACATTGTTGTATCAGGAGATAAAGAGATTTGGAGTTTCTAGCTCACCTTGGCGAACAATTAAAAAAAATAAGTGGGAGCAGGAGTGCTATTTCTGTTACATCGAAGGACAGCAGGAGGTGTTCTCTTTCAACCTCTTCCTAAGCATCTCTGGTGCTGCACTTTTCGCTGATCATTCAATGGGGTGCCTAACATAACCCTCTGCCTCACCCACAGACTTCAATTCTTACCTTTACAGAGTGGCACCCACTGCTTCTGTTCAGGGACAGATCAGTAGACAAAGAGATGTTGAGGTCCATACTCTCTGAAGCAGAGGTGCTACCAGAATCAGAATCTCTCTTGAGGCTATCATTCTCAAATTGAGAAGAGGTCAAACTCCCATTGGGGAGTTTTTCTTCAGTCGGTGTTTCAAGGAGGCTGTTTACAGTATGGCTTCCCCAATTTGAATCCTCACTATTTGCTGGCTCAGTGCTTTCCTTTTGGTGGTTGATAGCCCCATCCTCTGCTTGCTTAATGTTTTCATTGGGCTGCAGTGCCTGGGGGCTGGTGCTTAAGTTCTGTTTGGCATCAGGCAGGACTGAATAACTTTCTATTCCCAACAAATCCGAATGCTCAGCAGTTTTGACCAGAGCTTCAGTTATAGTTTCTTCCTTCAAAAGCCTGTTGTCCTGCCCGTTTATAGCTTCCTTGATGTGCTCCAGAGGCAACGTTGGTCCATTGGCCACAAGTGACAAGCGGTTTTCTTGAAGCTTGTCTCCTTCCAAACTTATCTGGCTTGCAAGAGAGGAATCCTTCTTCTGAACGTCATGAGGCTGAGTGAAGGAGGAGGGGAGACAAGAGGAAGATAATGAAATTATCCTTTTTTACATTTTTTTGCCTGAAGGAACAAGAAAAAACAATTAAGGGACAGAACAATGAGCATTCTAAGATAAAACAGAGACTTTTAAGGGGAATAGGATCACATTCTCCTCCAGAAAAGAATTTTTGCAAACAAAACCATTGAAACTTAGGCTGAGGTAGGTCATTTGTCATAAATTAGTATTTCATCACTGAATTCTCAAGGAACTCTGAGTACCTAGAGCAGGGGTAGGCAACCTTGGCTCTTTTATAACTCGTGGACTTCCAACTCCCAGAATTTCTGAGCCAGCTGTGCTGGCTCAGGAATTCTGGGAGTTGAAGTCCATGTCATAAAAGAGCCAAGGCTGCCTACCCTGACCTAGAGAATATTCTCTCTCCCTGCCAACTGATATTTATGAGATAGGGGGAAAGTGGGAGTTAGAAGTAAAAGGGAGAGTTTAATTCTCTCCTGGTAATTTGGCACTCATGAAGATGCTTTCTCCTCTTCTGCTTCATCAGTGCACAGAAGGTCTCATCACTGGTCTATAAAGAGTTCTCTTTGCTACAGATCAGCTGATAACATTCTGCCAAAATCTTCCAGAAGTGCTTTGACAGTGCTGATGAACTGTTACTTGAAGCATGTTGCCCCAGCTCATCCTTTGCCAATTTTGCTTCATTCATCCTGCCTTTACACTTCTCGGTTTCTGATGATCTCTCCTCCATAAGCCTTCTGTCATGGTTACAAGATCTCCATGAAAAAAAGCCTGCAGCCAAGAATACTGATTCTTTTGTCATGCCTCTGACATCTCATCACAAGAATAAGGGGAGCAAGATGAGACATTGGACATCTCAGAGATTGGGCTGTAGCACTAAGGCAGAAGTAGGGATCACCATTCCTACCTCTACAGAGCCAATCTCCTCCTCTTCATCCATATTGTCCAATTTGAAGATTGCCACTACTGTGGCTGTGGAAATCCAAAGAGTGGAAAAACTCTAGGGTCTATGGTGAGATACCTTGGCAGGAAGATCTACCAGGAATTAACTGTTATACTGAAGACCCTGGCTTGTGCAGTCAGCTGGCTACTGATGGCTATGTCTGAATGGAGATTGGGAACCTGGACAGAGTATAATATACTAGAACAGCTTTTTCAGTACCTCAGTCTCCTCTTTGCCTTGTCTTTAAACCACACCAGCTTTCCTAGAAATCCTATTCTTTCATCTGAACTTGAAAAATATTTTTTGCCTTTTCCTATGAACCTAGAATTGTAAGCCACTTGGCTGAGTTGGATGGCTATAAAAATAAACCTTAGACACTGATAATAAACTTTTCCTTATCTTTATTTAGATTAGACTGGAACTTTTATGTTCTGATTTCAATTCTGAATGCATCTACAAATTCATGGACTCGAACTATGAACAATTTTGCTAAAGCTCTGCAGTCTAGGAGAAGTTCTGGCCTATCAAAATGCTATTTTGTCTTGCATTACCATTATATTTGGACTATGGAAGTTGCGGTTGTTCAAACCTAAACTGGAGCTGCAGTGAGGAAGGACACATTGTTGAAAGCTCATCAAAGCCTATTAGAAAGAACTAAATTGGGACTGTATTCCTTGCCTTTCATCTGAGTAAGGAACAAAGTAAGGCAGAATAAGGAACAGAATAAGGCCGAGCTGTTATCTATCTCCTTTAAAGTAACATGCAATTTGACTTCAGGAAACCACTCCTCTTGCTTTGAGGATTTCACCAGATGATCATTATCAAGCATTTTTTTTCACTCTTTTCACATACAAAGGAATAAGGAAATTAGTAACGAAAATGCTGAAAGGTGCAGTTGACGTTTTCCTGAGAGCAGAAGGCTTCAGGCTGTCCTTCTACATAATTTGCACTAATGCCTGCCCTTCCCTCCCCTCACCCCCTCCCTGCATTCATTTCACTTTCTTTTCAAACTGTGTATTGCTCATCATTGCACTGGATAGAATCTGAGTTGGTTCAAGGATTATTAATAAGGTCTTGGCAGCTAGTGAAGAGAGTGCTGTGCCAAAAGTGTATTCTGCATTTTTAACTCTTTTCTTTCAAAAGGCTTGAAAAAAATAAATGCTTTTCATTGTTTTCTACAACGGAAAATAACATTTCCTGAAATCCCATGCAAAAGTGGAAGATTCCTGCAGCTCTTTTACTTAGGAGATGGCCAAAGAATGAAGATACTCCGTCTCTCGTGGGGTAACCATTCTCCACAAATCTTTATATATCCCTGGTTTCTCATGCTTCAATTAAATTTCAAGAGAGGCCACTACCACTGGCTTCTACTTATTAGGCAGCCAAAGAGGTTGCTGAGGTGAGGACTAAAATGAAAGACAAATCGAACAGAACAGCAGCATGTTCTACCACCTCATGTATTAAAGCTCAAAACCATGACAATAATATGTTCTGAAGCAAACCTTAAAATGAAAAAAGAGAAACAGAAACTTTACTCATAAGGGAAGGAAATCTCAAGAAATAAGACAGGATTCATCCCAGAAAGCAAGGGCAGAATAAGAGTCACTGAACTAGCAGTAAAACTCTAACTAAAATTCCTTATAGACTTTTTGTGACACAGGAAAAATGAAATTATGATGTATGGTTCTGGAAAAAAAATAGATTATAGAAAAAATATATAAATCATGTAATCCTAGAATAAGAGTTTATTTTACATGTACCATATTTTCCGGCGTATAAGACGACTTTCTAAAGCATGGAAATCGGCACCGAAGTCGGGGGTCGTCTTATACACCGGAAATTACTGTAGTTTCTGGCGTATAAGATGACTTTCTAGGCATGGAAATCGGCGCCAAAGTCAGGGGTCGTCTTATACGCCGAGTTGCTTTATATGCCGGAAAATACGGTATATTTATAACTGCTGCCCAGAAAATGGAAAACTTCTTCCTATTTTCTTTCCTTTTTTCTTCCCTTCATTTGTAGCTTTTTCTTTCTTCTTTTTTTTTCTTTTTATTCTAAGTAGTAGTTACCGTGTTTATCTTTCTTTTTCAAAACTGCAGTAAAGTTACATGAAAAAAAAATCTAAAAGGGAAATCAAGTCATTCTTTACTGCAAACCATTTAAACCTCAGCTATATTTCCTACAAACCATAAAGCTTGGATTTCCTGTGTTGCATTTGATAAGCTTCAGTGATACTAGGAATAGGAACACAAACCTCTTACTTGTCTCAGTAAAAAAGTATAAATCATTTATACTTGCCTTATTTTAAAAAAAAGTTTGTTACAATTCACAACTTCCATGCAATAAGATACAAATTTGCCTGTTGACACAGAAGGGGAGCCTGAGACCACATGGATAACTGTATCTGTGTGTGTCTGTGTATGTCTGTTTGTGTCTCTATGTGTGTACACACCTCAAAAGGGCAGGAAGGGGAAGGAATCTCAGGTTAAACAACCCCTAGGACAAAGGGAAAGTAGAATGGACATGCATTGCATTCTTAATTCTCTAATTATATTCTACTCTAGATTCTAGATTCTAGAAAGAGTACAGAGAAGAGCAACAAAGATGATTAGGGGACTGGAGGCTAAAACATATAAGGAACGGTCGCTGGACTTGGGTATGTCTAGTTTAATGATGAGAAGGATGAGGGGGGACATGATATATCTCAGGGGCTGCCACAAAGAAGAGGGAGTCAAGCTATTTTCCAAAGCGCCTGAAGGCAGGACAAGAAGCAATGGATGGAAACTAACCAAAGAGAGAAGCAACCTAGAACTAAGGAGAAACTTCCTGATAGTTAGAACAATTAACCAATGGAACAACCTGCCTCCAGGAGCTGTGAATGCTCCAACACTGGAAGTTTTTAAGAAGAAACTGGACAGCCATTTGTCCAAAATGGTATAGGGTTACCTGCCTGAGCAGGGGGTTGGACTTGATAACCTCCAAGGTACCTTCCAACTTTTATTATTATTATTATTACTGCCTTCTTGTGACCAAGAGATCACGAGAAGTTACACAGCCAGTCTTTTTGAATCTATACCTCCAGCAATATTTTACTACTGCGCTCCACGCTCCATTCTGTTCTACCACAAAACTACTGCTGAGTTAATACAATATGTTCTTGGTCTTACTGTGGTTATTCTTGTTGAAGAGTTAGTTTGTTCAGGCTTCCAACTACTCTTTCAAACACTGTCTTTATTGTATTCATGTCAGGGACAAAAGGCAGAAAGAGCCAAAAAGTTGAGCAAGCTTACAAGGTATACTCTATAGAAGATTCATTCTTTTTATCCAGAGACACCTTATCATTGGCTAGTGACTGCAGATCTCATTTTATTTGATGAATCCTTCAATGGACTAAACGCCTCTTCCCTGTCCAAATGTTTAACCTTCTATCTGTCTCTGCTAAGCCTAAAAGCAGCCAGCACAGTCGAGGGAGCTGCTTGCAGTTTTAATCTTAAGTGGCTAAAGGCTACGTTCTTCATAGTAAAGGTGCCAACAATTAAAACTTTTCCTAGGGGACATGTTTGTCCACACAGCAAGTGCATTTACTGAGAAAGCCATCTTGCAAGAGGAAAAGGAAGGCTTGGCCCCCTGCCCAAACATTGTTTGAAGGATTCCTGGCTGTTGAATGAAGAGCAGCCTCTTCTCAGCCAAGGAGCCATTCTTCCTGCCCACCTGCGCAAACACCTTTCAACTTCTCCCCTCCACAAGTAGCTGCAGGGATCAAAGGTTGCCAGCAGTTTGTTTTCAAAAATCCAGCTAACGTTGTTTGTGGACTCTGAAGCATTTTTAATGTGAATGTCAATTCCTGGCAAATAGACGGGGAAGAAATTGAGGTAGTGACAGATTTTATTTTCCTGGGCTCCAAGATCACCGCAGATGGGGACTGCAGCCAAGAAATTTCCTCCTGGGGAGGAAAGCTATAGCAAATCTAGACAGCATACTAAAAAGCAGAGACATCACCCTGCCAACAAAAGTCCGTATAGTCCAGGCCATGGTTTTCCGAATTGCAATGTATGACTGTGAAAGTTGGACCATAAGAAAGGCTGAGTGATAAAGAATTGAGGCCTTTGAACTATGGTGCTGGAGAAGACTCCTGCAAGTCCCTTGGACTGCAAGGCGTTCAAACCGGTCAGTCCTAAAAGACATCAACCCCAACTGCTCTTTAGAAGGCCAGATCCTGAAGTTGAAACTCAAATACTTTGGCCACCTAATGAGAAGGAAGGACTCACTGGAGAAGGGCCTAATGCTGGGAAAGATTGAGGGCAACAGAAGAAGGGGACGACAGAGAATGAGGTGGCTAGATGGAGTCAATGAAGCAGTAGGCATGAGCTTAAATGGACTCCAGAAGATGGTAGAGGACAGAAAGGCCTGGAGGAATGTTGTGCATGGGGCCATGATGGGTCGGACCGACTTTGCAATTAACAACAACATACATATGTCTTTGTATACTATGTGTATGAACACAGATTCATGTACATATAGGGGAAAAGTAATATTTTGTCTTGTTTCCTTAACGCAAACATCACTTAATGCAACAAAAGGAATTCAACTTACAGATGCAGATTCCGATGAGTCCTCTTCTTCAACTTCCTCTCTATTGTCTTCAATTTCCTCCATCACTTCAGCCTTTGCCTCTGCCACGAGCTCACGTAAGGCTTTATTGCTGGTGACCTTGCTGACAAAAGGGTGCTAAAAAAAACCCCCAAGTTCACAATTACCAAACTAGTCTGGTTCTCTTGCAAATCAAGAGCAAGACAGTTCAAAGTGAATGTAGAGACTTTGTCAGCTATTTCGCCCTTCCTTTGCTACTCAAATATTTGTGAACAATACAATATACTGTATTGATCACGAGTTACAGGCAATAATATTGCAATCTATAACTTTAAAATAAACAATATAGGTCATAAAAGTTTCTGTGTTACTGGGGCCAAACCTTTTCCAGAAAATGTTAGGAGCTAGAAGTATATTTGGTTATCAGTCTTTACAAGCTCAGACTGGTTTCTTTCACAGTTGTGGAATATGTGTGCTTCCAAGTAGCATTTCTACCGAAGCGCATACTTTCTGTGACAGTGAAACATTGAAGCTGGAAAACTACACAGACAAGGCAAAGAAAAAACATGAAAAAACCATATGGAATAGCTGCCTATTGGAGCTTTAGAAAGACAAGTTTCTATTGCTTGATAAATGCAACATTCCCATTGCAATTAAGGAGCTAAAATATACAACATGTTATGTTAGGTGTCCTTTCCATCACAGATGAACAAATAAGAAGGCTACTTCACCATAAACTGCATACACACAGACTTATTGAAAAAAAAAACTGCAGTGAAGGCCATATAATGTACTTTAGAATTTACATAAAAGAACTACATTGTTACCTTGCAATGTTGGCATTCTTCTTATAGAGGTACACCTACTTTAACACCACAGGGAGAAAACAAACTCACCAAGAAAACCCACAAATCAGCCTTCAATTTTTTACTGATTCGTCATTAAATTTATATAGCCCCTCCCATCTCACTTGCATGTGATTCTAAAACACACACAGTTAAAGCACAATTAAGAATTCTAACCTTCCACCATTAAAATCTATTAAAACAGTTAAAAGCTATATTTAAAAATTAAAATGTAAATAAAATAAAAATTTTTAAAAAAATCAGGGTTTTCCACAGTAGATAGTATTGCACACTTTCTTTTTGTTAATTATGTCAACATAGTCTGGTTTTCGGTATACTTCTGCCAAGCAATAATCAAATTAAAATTCATCCCTCCACTTAAAGGACCACTTTTTCCGCAGTTAAAGTTAGCAATAGCAAACAACAACTGCATACTTTTTAATGCTGGGCCAAAATTTAAGCTGCATAGAATAGCCTTCCCCAACGTGGATGCCCCCTACCTCCCCCCCCCCAAGGGTGGAAATAACTGCCATAATTCTCAGCAATGTTTCAGACATATGAGGGAGACGGCACTAGATGTGTCAGGAAGCAGAACTACTCAAACGGTAGAGTTTTTTCTCCCATGAGAAACATAATTAGAACCTGAACTCCAGCAATCAGGTTTTATATAGAGAAATGCAATCAGGTTTTATGTAGAGAAAACTCCAGGTTTTCTCTACATTAATGGGGGTAAATCTGTACTCCCACCAGGGACAGGTATGTGGATTTATGAGCTTCTATGCAGTATCACCACATGACTCACTTGAGATGCTATACTTACTTCCAGTAATTGTGTGGCAGTTGGCCGGGTCTCAGGGTTCTTGTCAAGCGCAAACTTCAGAAAATCTCTGAATGCTGGAGACCTTTATAAACAAACACACACACACATTTAAAAATGTCAGGAGAAATAAAACCAGGATATCCTACCCTGGATAACTAACATGGTTTATAAATTAAAATTTGTATGGCTGAACAGCGATGGCTGTTCAGAAGCAAGCTACATGCTGTCATTCTGTTCCCAATTCATGCCAAAGACCAAATGTTAGCAAGCTCATGCGGGGACAATTTGTCTGCCTGAGTTTAAGCTAATACAAAGCCTTCTGTCAGACAACGGATTGCACCCTCCTCCCTTCCTACATCTCTTTTTCTGTGCTGGCTGCCATGTAAGAGTAGGTTAAAAACACTTACTGCCAGTTTCTATGTAGAATTGCAGTTTCACATAAGGCTACATCTGCCCAGTGATTTTCTAGCCTGTCTTGTTCATATGTAAGAGACTCAGAGCATTTGGCTGTTTTCTATTCCTCTTGTACCATAATAGGAAGCCTAGCTAGATGTACCTTCTAATAAACATTTCATGTCCTGGGAGAGGCCAAAAGGGGCTTCAGAAAGTAAAAACACCAAGCTGCACTGGTTGGATATTTGTTGGGGACTGTGCTGTGCATTAAAAATATCATCATAAACCAACAGATTTCAGATATTCACAGAAACAAAGAAAAAAACTACATTGCACCAGTCAAACTACAGGTAGTCCTCAGCAAACGGCAGCAATTGGGACTGGGTTTGCTATTGCTAAGCAATACGGTCATAGTGTGATGTCATATGACTAAGCTTCTTAGTGACAACAGTTCCAGCACTCTGGTTCCTCACTTCGTTAAGTGAGGATGACACATGGTTACCACTTGTGACCTCCTCCTGGCTTCCCCATTGACTTTCCTTGTTGGAAGCCAACAAAGAAGGTTGTAGGTGATAAGCACATGACCACAAGAGGCTGCAACTCATAACTGTGAGGTTGCACCAAGTGCTCAGATAGCAACTATGTGACCAGGGGGATGCTGAGATGGCCAGAACTGCGAGAATCCGTCCTAAGTACTACATGTTCAGTACCATCACAGGTATGAACAGTTGCTGAATTGTTAAGCAAGGACAACCTGTCTTAGAATGGAGGGACTCTTTCCTGTCTCTTATTGTCATACACCTTTTAAATGGGAAAGGCAAGGAGAGAACTTGAGATCTTCTCATTACAAAGACAAGCTATTATCTTTGCTGTACATTGCATGGCTGGCTCAGGAATTCTGGGAGTTGAAGTCCACGAGTCATAAAAGAGCCAAGGTTGCCTACCCCTGATATAGTCATAAGGCAGGAAATACTGTATTTTAAGAGTTTGGAAAATGAAATATTCTGGAAAACAGGGCAATACAATACATTTAAATAAGAAATGAAAAATAATGATTGATAAAACAAGGTCAATGATACTGGAAGTTATAGTCCAAAACATCTAGAGAACATCAGGTTGAGAAAGGCTGCTCTAAGGAATCCAAGGTGTACTCTTTATACGTGTCAGTCCTTTGAGTTAGCCCAAAATCATGAATACTAAAACTATTTTTATTATAGGATTACAGTAACAGAAACTTGCAACTCTGAACAAGGAAGGGTCAAGCCTGAGACGCTTTCTCAAATTCCAATTCCTGCTTTGGGTGAAGATTTATCTGACTGTTGTCTTGGCTAGATTTCTTCTTCCCTCAAGTTTATTCTCACAGCCCACTATATCAAGTAACACCTTTTACTTTTCACATTTTAGGAAGATGCGCTAAGAAGACATAGCTCTTTGCCCAAAATTACCTAGTTTCAAGGGATAAGTGGAGATTTGTGTATAAACAAATTAGAAATTAGTGCTAGCAGTCATTGTTACCAACATAATTGATATCTCAATGTTACACTTGCTAGATATTGCTGGAATAATATTTTCCATTAGCTACAAAACTCATGGTCAATAGTGAAAGGGGCAGAAGTTATAGCTAACCTGGAGATCAGCATGAGGAATCTTAATCAAGTCTAGGAATGCATAATCCTTTCATTAGAAGCATTTCACATGACGCCCCAAGGGCTGCACTTGACAAACTGGGAAGAGCAAAATCTAATTAAAATTACTTTAATTGACTTAATTGCAGTTAAGATGATGCACTCAGCATGTTTTTAATTATTTCCCTTTTCCGTCAGATTAAATATTACAATTTGGTGGCGAGTTATAGAGTAGTCCTGAAGGATGAATTTAAAGCATTACAGCTTCAAGTAAGGTCTTGGTGCCTTAGGCTGTGTGTTTTTGAACTAGTCCACAGGTTAATAAAACAATAAGAAAAATATTTCCATTCCTCTGCTTATTCATTCTTGAGAACCTTTTTATTAAATGGGTCCCAATTTGCAGTGGCAATATTTTACAGCAGCTCAGAAACCCTAATAATTAATCATGCTGGCTGAGGCTAATGGTAGGTGGAATTCAGCAAAAGGTGGAAAGGTTCCGGATTTCAAATTCAACTTCTCAGACTTTTTCTACCATGATTATTCCGTTTGCTACAGATCTGTTTTGGCTACTAATAAAGTAATAGATTAATCCAATGAAGTATTTCCTTTTAATGTTATGGTATGTGAAAATGACCTTGAAGGAGAATGGAAGAGATGCTGTCTCAGAAACGATCAGACATGAGAAGAAGGAGTTCTCAGGGCTTAATGGCCAGAGGAAAAAAACTTAGGAAGGACCTGCTCTAATTGACTCGGCAGTTAAAAGTGCCGATGGGAGATTTATACCTTCACACTTGCAAGATTCTATTAATGCAGCCTTATAATAATGCAGAATTAGCTTATCCAGTCATGTTTCCTATTTTGTTTACCTGGGAACACTGATCATTATTGTTGGTAAAGGTGGGAAGGAAAGAAGACCAAGACACTTCTTGCAAGTATGCTTGACTGTTAGTGAACAAGAAAAAACTTCTCACCACTTTGATGGATAATTAAGAGTTGGAGGATCAGATTTGGCTATTTTCAGTAAGACCCTCATAGGGTTCAGCTCATGATGAGGTGGCTCTATTTGTGCCATTTCTATGAGTGTTATGCCCAAGGACCAGATGTCAGCCTTGTAATCATAAGGGGTGTCTTTCATAGTCTCACACATCACTACTTCAGGAGCCATCCTAAAAAACAAAGAAAGAGGAGTGAAATTCTACTACAAATTCATTTCCACTGAAAGTGGTTCTAAGAACCAGATCTTGTTTTCAAGATGAACTATATATTCAACTGCTCTAGGACCGACCTTAAAAGTACAACTTTGTAACTAAACTATGAATGAAACATGAAAATTCATCCCTTCTGCACTCAGAATTAACTAGCCAACAATACAAACTCCTGAATCCCATTGTCTATGGTAATACTATTGAACATAACACAAAAATACATCCTCTACTGAAATTAATAGATTGCAAAAATGATTAACTTCTGTAGGTTATATCCAGCCCACATATACACTCCTGGTCATTCATCTCTCCCTTCTCCATTGGCCACAGAAGGCAACCAGTCAGCTAACGACATCTGACCTAAATACTGCTTGAAATGGCAAATTAAATGCACACTGATTGCATCCCCTTAATGATGATGTAGCTGATTTAGCGATTAAATTCTTGGAGTGAATACTTGTTTTTATACCCTTGGAACTGCTTCAAAAGGACATTCCACCAAATTGGGGGAGGGGAGTGAGAAGAAGACAGAACAGCCCAAATTCCATCAATATTTCATCCCAGATACAGGCAGTGATTCAAATGACGGAATACTGTTGCAGCTGACAATTTTTATTCCTTCCATATTTTTCCCTCTACCTCCAAGGATAAAGTCCTTGACACATACAAACTCACTTTAAAAAAAAAATAATTAAATGCAGCACTGCCTTCTAAGTTGACACACTCTTTTTATATTTTACATTCATTTAAAATACATACAAATGGGACATTGCGCTAATTAAGATCAAGATATCAGTCATACAACACAGAGACAAATATATCTGCACACTCAGGGCATAATTTAAAATACAGCCCCATAATAAGTAACAAAACCATATGTTGATTAGGACACAACATCCCCCCACTTCTCTCCCAATGAAATTTGGCAGTGATTTCTTTAAAGGTCATGCTATTGTGAAATAAACCTCTTACCAGTATGGTGTGCCAATGAAAGAATCTCTCTTCTGCACAGTCTTCATGTTTTTGGCTGATACTCCAAAATCAGCTGAAAAAAGTTGAAATCACATTCAATTCTTTAATGAATATTTTGGGTACCAGTGTGCTTAAAAGGGCAACCTTTAATTCTATCACTCCTTAGTTTATTTCTCAAGCATACAGAGGACCAATAGAAACTTTAACCTGGATGGACACCAAGAACCCTCTGCATCTTATTGCACTAGAATTCTCATATTTGGGAATTGGCTCTACCCATATCTAGCCTATACTAATGATCTGAAACATGTTAAAAATATAAAAATAGTGATACTATCAAATTATGGAATCTACGCCCACAAAACATATTATTGCTAAATATTCTTCTCATAAGACAGACTACTTCAATATGGATGAGTATTTGGATGTGACAAGTAACCTAGCATTCTGATTAACTTGCTTTTTTTAGCTAACCATAATTATAGGGATGGTAAGGAAAACCCTTCTAAATCTCTCATCAAGAGCAGCATTTTGCTTTACTATAAGAGGGAAACAATTCACTGTCAGGGACTTCGCCCCCATCCTAACATACAATTCATGGTTTTGCTATTTAAATTAGATTTCATACAGTAATTTACAGTTCCATTTTACGTTAAGTATTATTTCCATCTCTTCCCAGAAATTTCAACTAGAAAGATATAAAGCAAGACATGTCAGCCTTTTCATCTCTCCACACCAACAAATAAAAAAAACATTCTCCACTCATATAGAAATGATGCCAGTTCCCACCAAACTTGAAAAGAATAGCAAGCATTGATTTATATACAAGCTCTCACAGAACAATAAGAAAAATGCTGAATTCATAAGTAGCTTTCAATGTCTCCTTGCATTCCTACACCTACTACTTCTGCTTTTGTTGGTCTTTTTAATGGCCCTAATTTCTTTATCAACTTATGTGCCGGACTTTTTAATTGCACAATTTTGGATTTTATAACTACTGTTCCAGAGAATTCACGTGCTGTTAAATTATGTTCTTGGCAGAACTGGAGCTCTCATCATTTTTCCCTAAACAGACTAAGATGGGACAAGCATGACGATAAATGTATAAATGATGATGGGAAGACAGCTTGAGAGAGAAGATCGGAATTAAAAGTAATGAAAGGGCGCCATGTGTAATGCAAAAGTTAAACTTCTGCTCCTGAAAAGACAAATGCTGAGGCATATCATTATAACATCATCTTCAAAATACCTGTCCAATACTAACTTGCTGTGCAAACAGGATTTCCATTTAGAGTTAGACAATTATCAAAAACTTCTGCTTATAAAGGAGAATCTTTGAAATGAGTTCAAAATAAAAACATCCAGTCCCAAGGAACTATTTCTAAACAATTAAGAGTTGGGATAGCAAGTAGAAATCTTAATAGTCTAACTAGAACATTAGAACAACAGCTATCCTTATGTGGCAGCATGGAAAAGGTTGGCCTTTTCGACAAAGAGATACTGTCTAAGCCAGTAAGGAAAGAAAATTCTTTGGTGGTTGTGTCTTTCTCACTGTAGCCAATGTTACATTCCACAAAGTTCATAAAATGACAAAGTTGATGAACTGACTCTCCCCCCCCCCCAGCACACACACACACACAATACGTTTCCTGGAAGGGGATGGAGGGAAGCACTAAAGTTCTGAACATGAAGCTAAGCACCTAGCAACTCTTTGATTATGTCTCTTTCCCATACAAAACCTCAGTTAAAAATGATCATTTTCTTTTTTTAAAAAAATGTTCATCAATTTATACCAGCTTACATTGAACTACATCTCTGCTCACTCTCTCTACACCATTTATAAACATGCTGAAAAGCATTAGGCGCAATGCAATCCTTAGAAGTTTCTATTCAGAAGTTGCCTTTCAATTGTGAACATGATCCATTTACTCTTATGCCATGATTTTTCTTCTTAAAGTCTCCATCCTTGCTTCCTGGGACAGCCTCAAATATAAAAACTGATCTTAAAACTGCCTTTTTTCCTTTACTAGAAAATCTGCAATTTCACACATAAGTTCTTTAAAAAAAGTTCTGTATGGATACCATCTGGTACCAGAGAAAAGCTCCATGTTCATATTGCTCATGAAGTCTAAATTCACTATAAACTTCATTTACATTCTCTATGTTATATGGATTATAAACAATTTGTAAATTTCCGAGAAACAACTGATCTATACTCTTAAATATGAAGAAGGAAGAAGAATTTTACTTGCAATGTTTCTGACTTCATGGGGCCTCTCTCTGGCAGCTTTTGGCGCCATGACCGAATTTAGTCTTTTTTGTTCCGAGAAAAACATTTCCAGTTAAAATATTTTTGCATTTTGTCATGGCTAATAACATGACAAAGGCCCACCAAAGCAGCAATCCAGTGTGTGCTTTCTCAGGAGAGAGTTCCATTAAATAGTGGGACTTAATACTAAATATAAGATTGTACATTAAGAACTTATTGAAAGGAAATTCAGATATTTGGTCAATAATAAAAGCTGGTAGATTACATTCGGCAAATTCTTCTTTTTCAATCCAACAAATTCCGATCAGAGAAAAAGGCTGAAAGAAGACCAATTTAACCAAAGACTATTTAACAGTTAGATGTGACTAACTGTCTATCGCTATTTTCATGACAAAAGAGTCCCAACTGTTGTTTTTTTTTAATCATCTACTTTTCATACTTGCTGAATACAAGAACCAACCTTCTGGCATACTGACTATTTCTCACTCCAGAGCCAAGTACTTTGTCTCACCAAGTTTAATGTCTCCATCTAGGGTTAGCAACACATTGCCTGCCTTTAAGTCTCGATGGATAATCTTCTTGCCATGCAGATAGTTCAGGGCTTCCAGCATCTGGCGACAAATCACCTTGATCTGGGATTCAGTCAGGCCTCGATCCAGCTCTACAAAACAGTTGGAAAGACTCTTTCAGTTATTCTTTGTTCTGAACTTGGCAGTAACACGCACACAACTGAGAGTGACAACCAATTAAAGCTTAACTAGTTGAGTAATAAATCACAAGTTATAAAGACCAAAATCTGCAATACAGGTAGCCTCTGCTTAGGATCACAACGGAGCTCAAAATTTCTGTTGCTAAGTGAGAAATTTGTTAAGTGAGTTGTGCCCCATTTTATGACCTTTCTTGCCCCAGTTGTTAGGTGAATCACTGCAGTTGTTAAGTTAGTAACATGGTTAAGTGAAGTTGGCTTTCCGTTGACTTTGCTCGCAAAAGGTGACCCACATAACCCTGGACATTGCAACCGTCATAAATATGAGTCAGTTGCCATGCATCTCAATTTTGATGATGTGACCTTGGGAAATCTGCAACTAGCATAATTGTGAAATATGGTCATAAATCACTTTTTTCAGTGCTGTTATAACTTTGAACAGTCACTAAACAAACTGTTGTAAGTTGAGGACTACCTGTAAATATTTTGGGTACCATGGCCTGCTTCCTCTTAAATATAGAAAGCTCATGTTAATATGTAAAATCTATCGCCCATAATAAATACAGCTTTGGAGTCTGGAGTTTACAATATTCTGGCCTAAAGTAATTAGAGCAAAATCAGGTTTAAAGTGTAAAAATTGACTGAAAAAAATTAGATACTGCATAAAAGCATGCCCTGTCTGTTTCATTTGTCACACATATGAACAACCCCCCTCTTTTTCCTCACTGGAGGAATGCTTCCAAATGGCAATCTGCTTAGAAAACATTATTAGTAGCTGAATCCAGTTTAGTGATTAAATCATGGCTGTGGTTACCATGTGGCAGTCCAAAAGGAGATCTGGCCCCATATAGCAGGAATCACATTTTCATCCTCCTCTTTATCGCTTGTTTTTATCTCAGGGCAAGAAGGTGATGCTCTGAATATGGAAGGACACTATAGAGCTAAATGGTTTTCTGGTTGCTCTGGTGAAATTTTTCTTCACTTCTAGCAAAGCCTCCGTTAATGTTTAGAACAGGGAAATCAGTTGGGAAACAGATGCAGTCTCCCTGATAGAGTGCTCCGGCAACAAAATAGTTTAAAATTTGAGTGTCATGGAGGAATAGTTTGGAAAATCCATTAGGGGACAGCCTGGAGCCCATATTATGGTGTATGGAATGACAAGGATATCAAAAAAGTATTTTGCCATCCATTAGCATCCAAAGAGAATTAGGCCATGCAGTTACTTCAAGCTGAAATAAATCTATTTTGTCCTAAAAGTGATTGTCTACTCAATCCTTCAGTCAAATTCATAATCATAAATCTTGCTGGTCTTCTGAACCACCACAACAGGAACGTGTATGAGAGGTCTTTAGAAAGGCATTCTTTCTATAGATAACATAAAATTTAGAAGATGTAATTTCCTGCTTACTTAATAATTACATAGTTTTTGTAATTGGTTTTTGTTTTTAAAGCACTGTTCTTTTTTTTTTTTTTTCAAACTGTTTAACATTTGTACTGACTTGGCTGCCCAATTTGCAAATAGTAACTCTGGCTGCCTTACATGGGTTAAAAACATAGAAACTAAGAATCACAAAACAGACAACACACAAAGACATATCACAATACAGAATAATCAAGGGCAAGTACATATATGCTAAATTCCAAAAGCTTTGTAGGACAGGCTCATCCCAAATTCTGGCCCACTGCCCAGAGGGGGGAAAAAAAACAGGTTCTTAAGGCTGAAAGCCAACAAGGCTGTTTAGCATACCAAGGGATGTATGTTTATTGGAGAGAAAGATAAGGATATTTATATAAATAAATATGTAATTCTCCAAGGCACAGTTATTACAGATGACTAATAATAAAATAAGGAAGGCCTTGACTCACAGCTATTGTAATAGAAATTAGTTTCCTCATATATTTTTTTGCTAAACCATAATAGATAAGACATTTAAGAATATTCTCTATCTTTTGCATTAAGCAACATCACCCAATATGAATGCCAAATAGGGCCAAATAAGGCTAATCCAGGAGGGAGGTGTTAAATAGGACAGTCATTCTTTCAGCAGCAAAACATCTTAACCAGAGATGAAAAGCTCCCATTTCACTGTTGGGTTCTTATTTTCCCACTGCCAGTAGAGACATTGGATTAATTTAGAACAGGGGTCTTCAAACTTGGCCCTTTTATGACTTGTGGACTTCAACTCCCAGAATTCCTCAGCCAGCGTGCCTGGCTGAAGAATTCTGAGAATTGAAGTCCCCAAGTATAAAAGGGCCAAGTTTGAAGACCCCCAATTTAAAGAGTACACATGCTTGAAGGGATAGGGGGAATGTTCCCTCAGTCAGCATTGTATTTCTTCAAAAATGTTCCAGAGATAACAAAACTTGGCTATGAGAGAGTTTTTCAGGATTTCAAGTCCTCCCTAAGTTGAAGTTGTCTTCAAGGCTTGCAATGACCAAAAGACATGTTCATTGTGAAAGTAATGGGCACAGTTGGAATTCATTTCCCTTGATCATAATCAGTCTTTTACAATGACTAATTGCATATTAAAGTTTTTCCCTCTTTATTGGAAGATCTGAGTCTTTAGATCTGCAATTTCTAGGCCAAGTTAATCCTAAGAAGGCAGAACTTCACTACCCCCTGCCTTAAGGGCAGCGACTGAACTTTTAGTTTTAATTAGAAATATTGCTTGGTTCTTTCACTTTGCTTTCCTCTAAAAGCACCTTTTCAATCCTGGAGGTGATTTGTGTGTGTGTGTGGGGGGGGGGGAACTGTGCAATTAAAATCCTGAAGAACACAAAACTCTTTCTTTCCTATCAGGAAAGACCATGAAAATACAGCCGTCACTATAGGTCACTTTGAAATATCAGCTGTAGAAAATTAAACCTCATCACTAGAAGAACTTTTTTTTAATAGACTTGCTCTATATTTTTTCACTACTGGCCAACCTCCCACTCTGCATGATGAAGCCACAACTCCCAGACTGATCTCAAAAATAAAGCACAATTTCCATAGGTTTGCCTGCTTTATTGTATTTTAGGAAAAGCTATGAAAATAAGCTTTTTCTGTAATGACATATATCTTCTTACTACTGAATTTCCTGTATACATATATGATTATTGCCAGTCTATTATGGGAATGTTTATGCACATACCTTTAAGCACAAGCTGTAATATTCTATACCAGGGGTGTCAAACTGCCAGCCCGTGGGCTGGATGCGTTACATGGAAACTGCACCCATCCCATTGCCAGCAATGGCAAAACTGTCTCGATACGTTGTGCAACATCACATGATGTCGCGAGTTTGATATGTCTGTTCTATACGATATGGGGCAATATGAAGCTTCATTGTACTTACCTAGCATAGTAGCATCTACAGCTCCACCAGGACAAAACTCAATCATAATCTAAAGAAAAAAAGAAATAAATGGGTAAGCAGAAATGATATTTATATAATATACACATTTTATTTCATAAAATATGCAAAATAAATAAGTTATGTAAAACATACATATATTTGTTATACGTATTCCCACACAACTATATAACTACTATATACAAAAAATCTGAATCACTGAATGAACAGCCACAACAATAACAAATCTCAGTCAGTTATTTCTTCTCCAAAATAAAGTTGCATTTCAGTAACATTTTCACAAATAAGCTGGACTCCTTGCTGCTTCTGAATATTATAACAAGGTGTTAAGATGCCCACTCAAATGCAAGAATAACTAAAGAGGCTATCTTTCCTCCTAGGAACACAGGAAAAATGTTGTGTTGAAATCAAGGCAAGCCATCTTATAGTTCTTGTAATTTTTAACAAAAATAATAATTTGTTTCAAAACTATTAATACTTACGAAGCACATTAGGTTGCCTTGGGCTTAGATTGGAATAACAGTACTGTTATAGTTTGGACTTCATGTGCCCCAAATGTATTCCTTTTAGTTTTTGTGGGGAAAAAATTAAAACCCTCCAGTCCCTATGTGTCTCAGTATCTCTGCCACAAACCAGGGAAAATACCTGAACATTTTGGTCTACTCGTTCCTGTGCCATCTCCAAGTCTCTAGCTAGGATGAGACTTTGCAACATTTTTTACGTGTTGGGTATGCTCCACAATTCATTCCTTCATTCATTAGGCTTGTGGGGCATGCCCACAAATTCATTCCTTCTCTTGGTTGCCAATAATTCCCTACACTTTTTGTACCAGGCACAATCCTACAAGGTTTTCTCATTATTCTAGTTTGAGAGTTGCCATCAGCCATATTGGAAAGGAGATTCCTGAAAACCCTTAATGCAGAAAGCATTTATTCTGTCAGTCTGGGAATACTGAATAATTGAAGCACATTTTAGTCTAGTACAATTTTTATAGAGATATTTGTAGAGCTGCTAACATGCCTCAATAAGCCATTCCCTAGTTGTTCCTATGAATTTTAAGTGAAGCTCCTCTTGGCAGACAGAAGTCCCCAAACAACCCTACTGTTTGCCTCTGTAGCTGGAGAACTCATGCTTTGCTAACAATAAATTAATTTGGGATTGCTTTTACTAGTTACATTAAGTACTGCTGCAATTGTTCCTATGCCATTTTAGTAGTTTACTGCCTTTTATTTTGATATGTTTGATGCATCTGTGACCTGCAATGAACAATAAAGCAAGCCTCATTCACATTTTGTTCCCCTCATAAAAGTTTGAAATGCAGTCAATTAAGAAAATCAGTCACTGTAGAATTGTCCCTCTCCTGTATACTATAGATACAAAATAATTGATAATTGCTTAGCTGGGCTACTAGTCTGTCCAGCTAAGTAGCAACTGTTTGTCAACGTTTGGCTGATCTCAAAAAACTAAGCTGTATCATACTGGCTGGGACTTAGGAAATTACACTGGGAATTACAATTTTTCAATTGCAATTGAGAAACAAAAACAAATGGCAAATGGCAAACTACATTTGTATGGTGCCAAGTAAACTCACACCTATATCTGCAAAATTACTAGGAGAGATGCTTAGCTTGGAGACTTTTTCTTAACTTAAAACACAGCCAGGCTTACAAACCATTTTCATTGATCACTTCTAGATCATGTATAATCTATTTTCTTACTAGCATACACTGGAAATGGTAAAGCAAGATATTTATACTACTGAAATATTTAAATTAGGAGTCTGTGATTGTCTTTACTTCATACAACTACTCCAGTTCCTGCACTGAAATATTTCTTTCGCTATAGTCTTGCTCCTTTCCATCCAAGAACGGTAAGAAGTTTCATTTGTGCTTGGGACATTCTTTTGCTCATGCATGTGAATTTGTTATATATCTTCATGATAGAGTTCTTCTATCTATCTAATACTTATAACTGGGCAGTTATAATTATAATACTTATAATTATGACTGCCCAATGTAGCTGAATAAGTAGTGCCTGCTGAAGTTTGGCTCCTATCAGGGGCCTTTGAAGATAAAACAGCTAAAGAAAGATTTGTGCCATTATTGTTTGTTACTGTTTTTAATTGTATTTGTTTGACTTTGTACACTCCACAGAGCCTCTGGAATGAGGTGGCTTATGAATCTTATAAATATGTCATATTTAAATATATGCTATGATTGCTTTCTTTCAGTGCAATGTTTTGCACTGCTGAAAATGAACATAATTCTATCTTGGAAACAATTTGATGCAATAATTTTTTAAGGTAAAAGGAGATTAACCCCAACTAAAAATGGATCAGTATTATCTGTCTTAAGTTATTTACACTGTCTTCCTTTATTTTACAAAATAGAAGGTCTGGAAAGGAATGAGAAATAAATATATTTAATATAACAAAGTTAGACCAAGAGTTTGAAAAGCTGGCATGAACATGAAGAGTGATGGGGAGGATGCAAAGCTTTGTGAATCTAAGAAATTGAAAAATTATACATGTGCAGTTCATGTAATATTAAGAGTGGAAAATGAGTAGTTTAAGCTTCTAGGAAGCACATTGTTCTTGAGGGTCCAGAAATTCTATTTAAGTTGTAGTAGAAACTATAATAGCTTCTGTTATGTGAAATCCAATAATAACGCCAGCCTTCCAATCCCAAACATAAACATTTAAGAGTGCTCCGTTCTACAGAACAATATTAAGCAGACATTTACTTCATTTTTTAAGCTCTTGGCCAGCTACACTGTACAAGTTGTGTGGTCAAATTCAACAGAAGAAAGAAACAAGTTTTATTTACTGTGGAACAAATAGAAAATAACACAATTCACTACTCAAGTCAAGTAGCAATGTTGATGGTCTTTCTTAAATGAAACAAGAGAAGAAAAGGTAGAAAAGTTGTTCGCACTGGTTATTCCTGGAACTCATCTAAGTCTTTCATGTACATTAGCACATTAACTTTATGACCTTCTTTTCTTTAGCTCAATGGCACTAGGCAGCCCTCATCTCTCAGCTAAAATCTGCCCTCCAATGTTTGGTTACTAGTCATAAAAAGATAGCATACCAGATGGTTTCTGTAAAGTCTTAAAATGGTGAACAAATTTGGCATAGGCTTACTGAATCATCTCCAGCCCATCTGCTTCAGCATTCTTTTTCCAGTTGTGAAAAAGCTACTGAACAACACACACTCTTAATTTCATTAATAATTTTAATAAAAGTGATTTAAAAAAAGAAAAGGAAAACAAAGAAAGAAGAAATAGTCTTATGTAAATGATATTGGTAGGTCCCATAGCTGAGTTCAAGCCATACTTGATATTCCATACCTTATAAACATAAGTTCCATGCAGTAGGACTGTCCAGTGGTCACATTTGTTATTTTCCTTTTTATTACTTGTCAATTCCTTTTAAAATATTTCTTGAATTATTTTCAAGGATAAGCGTTAAGTCACAAACTAGAGTAGCCTTATGAAGAGAAATAACTTTTTTTTAAAAAGAAACAAGATGACTAGCTGGAAGCTGCTTTGGAACTGGTTGAGCTGTAAGGATGTTGGGGAACATGATTAGAAAACTGAGAACAAGAGATTCTCCAGACCAATCACAAGAGATTCTCCAGACCAATCACTCCTGGATAGTTATCACACAACTGAAGCCAACTAGGATCACTGTAGCTCTGCATTGGAGGTCATTCCCACTCCTGTAGAAAAATAAATATCTATACCATCCATAAAGGATTTGCAGCAGAATGTTGAAAATCAGCCTTGATTAATAAATAGAGAAGAGTTACTGTTTCATTAGGTAAGAAGTCAGGAGCTATCAGAAAGACTGTTAGGATACAGCCACCAATAATTATTTTTTTTAAAAAAGGATGCTTGCCATTGTGTTTTTGGAGACAGATTTGTGACTTCACTCCAAAGAGATAAAATCTATCCTTTCAAATTTCTTAACCTAGTCTTCACTCTTTTCAGCAAAAGAGGCTTAAAGTCTGTGGCATGGAAATTTAACTGCTGAGTAAGCAAAGATTAGAGCTGAAAACTTGACACCACCCTTCCTGTGTGAAGAATTCATGACCTTTGGTCACTTTTCATACAAACTGGCAATTCTCTCAATAATTAATCCTGCAGGGGAAGCACGCTAAAAAGTAGGGTGTGTGAGCCAGAGACAGAATGAGAGATAGTTGTATATTACTGGGTGTGTTCTATTAGCTTTACTGAAACTGTCCCAGAACTAAATTCTAATTACCAACTTTCCAAAAATACTGCTTTGACACAAGAATCTTGTATTTGCATCTCTTAACTCAGTCATCCAGGTCATGGTTATCCCAAAAGTGCTTTTTCATGAGGCAACTGGACTTTCTTTTTTCTCTTTGAAGATGTTTTGCTTCAGCTTCTCAAGAAGCTGAAGAAGCTTCTTGGATGAGAAATGAAACATCTTCAAAGAGAAAAAACAAAATCCAGTTGCCTCGTAAAAAAGCATCTTTGAGATACTTGCTTCTCTTCTATCTCAAGATCCCCTCTCTAGAAGATCTTTATCATGCCCAAAATATTGGGGTGCAATTTACTTTCTGTATTCAAAATTTTAAGAGTTTCATACTTTCCATAAGAAGTGAAAAGATAAAGTCACTACTATTCAGGTCTTGTGACAGAAGCACTTGTGACAGAGAGGAGCACTTGTGACAGAAAGGGCTTCATGGGCTTGGACCTGACTACTTGAGGGACCTTCTGCCTCCTCTAGTTTCTGCTTCTCCGGTGAATCAGCCAGAGTTATCGTGTTTTGAGATCCATTGACTAAACTGGGTCATTTGATGGAACCCAGGAATTATGGTGTCTCTGTTGCAACTCCTATCCTCTGGAACAGTAACTCCCTGGATATCCGTATTGTTAATAGATTTATATCTTGCTTTTATTTATACAGCTTATATACTCCCTCCCTCAGTTTTCCCCTTGTGAGGTGGATTGAGCTGGGAGAACGTGACTGGTCCAAAATCATGCAGTTGGCTAAGGGAGGCT